AAATGATAAGACAAATAATTTATGTCTGTTGATGTTAAAACCATTCCTCGTAATTCGAGTTCTAAAGTTTTCTACCATTTTATGACCTAAAATGCAAATGAATGAATTAACTTCCCTTGGCTTGACAAAAAAAAAATCTGTAATTTCACATCATTTTTCCCTTTCTGTAACTGTAAAATCTGTTCCCAGTATACTGAAAATGGCATATTGACTTACAGAAAAACATAGAATAGTAAAAGTGGCGATCAGTCACGTACATGATTTTCAATGAATTGGATTTCAAGGTAATGCTGGTTCCCTAATGCACTGATGCCATTAGCCTGTATTAACACTCGTAGAAGCGAACATTTCCAGGTCGGTGGTAGGTGTGGTGTGATGATTTGCCGGATATGCTTGTAGGTTCAAGTGAAACCAGGGATCACTTATCAAGGCTATATTGAAGTACACAGAGGAGCACTGCGGTGTGCGACCGGACAGTCAGCTCACTGGTGATGCTCTGCCTGAGGCATGTTGTTACAGGAACATGCCACTAGCAAACAAGTTGTTACATGAATGGAGGTAGATAGTTACATGGTTAATATGATACAGAGGGTGACAATCAATGGTGTACATGTTATGGTATGGTATATACACAGACACTAATATATCACATATCTACAGTAAGCTCAGCTCAAAGTTGCTGGGACATTCGCCCTTCTAGCTCTAGAATTATTATTATTGTTATTATTATTATTATCATTATTATTATTATTATTATTATTATTATTATTATTATTATTATTATTATTATTAGTTATTTGTTTAAATGATTTGATCTCTGCCAAACAGGTTGTATTCATGCTGATTTGATTACTAGACTTTGAGAGGAGAAATGCTCCAGACAGAACTGTCCAACCTCTTTAGATTCCACGCCGTGAACTAACCCCCCTCCCCCCCTTCCCCCGCAGGATCCGTCCGCAGATCGCGCGCGAGCTGATCGAGATGTGCCGCGTGTGCACCAGCGTGACGCCCGACGAGCCGCAGGTGTGGCTGGGCTCGGACAAGGCCTTCACCTACGACTACGTGTTCGACATGGGCACCACGCAAAGCCAGGTGTACGACGCGTGCGTCAGCGGCCTCATCGAGGGCTGCTTCGACGGCTACAACGCCACCGTCCTCGCCTACGGACAGGTGAGCGGAGGGCGCCGAGTCCGGGGCTCGGGGAGTTCTCTGGGACGGGGGGCGGGGGGGGGGTAGTCGCATGCAGGGAATGGCTAATCAAAGGGGACCAGAGTATGCGTCTTGCTTTGTCCGGGGAATAATGATTCCTCTGTCCATGACAGCAGCGCAGCGAGTGTTGATGCCAAAGCTTGTTTCCGTGTTTGCACCGGGATCTGGTATTTTCTGTTCTTTTATTTATTTTATTTCGCGCTTAAGTAATTTTGGTTATTCTTCCTTTTTTCAGTATATGCACTATTATTGTTTTAGTATACCTTTATTTTGTTTATATTTTTGCATATAATGTCTATTCCTCTTTTCCTTGTCACGTTCATGTAATCGCCTTCCTTTATTGTTTTCGCTGCGTGTCACCTTTAATAGATTTCCCTGTTCTCACCGCCACTTGTTTTCATTTCACTTCTGTTAGTTTTATGTTATTTTGGATTGTTTCCGTTGATGTTATTTTATGATTAAAAGCTTCTATTATTTTGTTTCATGATGTTATTTTATTATTTAATGCTTTCGTTCTCCCTTCCCCCCGCTTCGCCTCCCGACGCCTGGTCCCTCCGGCAGACGGGCTCGGGCAAGACCTACACGATGGGCACGGGCCTGGAGGTGGAGGGCGGCGGCGACGCGGTGGGCATCATCCCCCGCGCCGTGGCTCACCTCTTCCAGGGCATCGACGAGCGGAGGGCGGCCGCGGCGGAGGCCCAGACCACGCCCCCCGAGTTCAAGGTCACCGCCCACTTCATGGAGCTCTACAACGAGGAAATCATCGATCTGTTCGAACCCAACTATAGGGTGAGTGCCGGAGGACGCGTGAGTGTGAGTGTGAGTGTAAGTGAGTATGTGTATGTGTGAGAGTGAGTGAGTGTGAGAGTGAATGAGTGAATGAATGAATAGGTAAGTGAGAGTGAGATTACGGAATTGTGAGGATATGTGAGTACGTGTATCTGAGTGAATGAGCGTGGCTAGGTGTTTGTATACGCGGAAATGTACATGTTTTTCATTTGTGTGCTTGGCTGTGTGTGGATGTGATTAGCCGAACAGGTGGATGTTGGCGTGGATGAGGGAAAGAGGGAGACGGAGAGAGAAAACGAGAGAGAAGTCGCAAGTGACAGACAAGCTTCTTTCTGTCAGCAGGAGGACAATAGGGAAAAAAACTACATTTCTCTGGCGGTTAATGTCATTTGGCAGAAGGCCATGGGGCGAGGGAGGTAATGACGAAAGGGAGGGGGAGTGGGGGGGAAGGGAGAGGGAGAGGGAAGGGCAGAGGAGGGGGAGGGAAAGGTAGGAGAAGAGA